AAAGTTTTTTCAAAATTATTTTGGGGTGCTCCAAGGCCCCAGTCTATGGTCTAATAAACACGAAAAATCAAGAGAGTCTCGTAAATGCGAAAATATGCCTTAAGAAATGTTATGACTATGCGTAATTTACTCCCCCAACTCATTATGAAGATCCTCCTAAAAAAAATCAAAAAAATATTTTGGGTGCTCCAAGGCACCAGATCCATGGGCTAATTAATACATATGAAAAATCTAAGAAAGTTGCTCAATTCTCAAAAGTTGGCTCGTAAATGCAAACATATGCCTTAAAAATAGAACGACCATACGTAATGCTCCCCCAACTCATTATGGAGGTTGTCATAAAAAAAATTCAGAATTTTTTTTTGGGTGCTACAAGGCGCCAGATCTATAAGCTAATACACACGAAAAAAACAAGAAGATCGCATAATTCTTAAAAGTTGACTCGTATCTTTGAAAATATGCCTTAAAATGGCGTGACTATACGTAATGGTTTCCCAACTCATTACAGAGGTCCTCATAATATTTTTTCAAATTTTTTTCCAAGACGCTTGATCTATGAGCTAATACACCAAAAACTAAGAAAAACACGTAATTCCTAAAAGTTGACTCGTAAATGTGAAAAAATACCTTACTTTTTATCTTGAACTTGATGAACTTGAACTTTATCTCGATCTTGACTTTTACTTAAGTTTGAGGGCTTCAAGCTTGTTCCCAAATCCGATGATCTTGATCGTTCTTGAACTTGAATGCTTGAATTCTTAAACTTGTATCTTATAGAGAATTTTATGGCATTTGTACCACATACTTTCTCTAGCTTCTTGTTTAGAATTTTCGGTTCTCCAAGTCCATCAAAGACGAAAGACTTTTTGCTGGGAGTAGTGACATCATCTTCAAAAGTTATATGGTTATTGCTTGCCCTATTTATGGAAATACGAACTGGCGGCGGTTGGTTATAGCCTAGGCCTTCACATGTGACTCTATGTAATTCTCCCCTAACTCATTACAGAGGTTCTCATAGATTTTTTTTAGAAATTTTTTTTGGGTGCTCCAAGACGATTGATCCATGTGCTAATATACACAAAAAATCAAGAAAGCCATGTAATTTCTAAAAGTTAGTTCGTAAATGCAAAAATATTCCTTAAAAAATATTGTGGACTATATGTAATGCTCCCCCCAACTCATTACAGAGGCACTCAATTTCAAAAAAAAATTTGGGTGCTCAAAGGCGCTAGATTCAAGGCTAATAACATGAAACAACCAAGAAAGTCGCTTAATTTCTAAAAGTAGGATCGTAAATACAAAATGACTTAAAATGGTGTGACTATACGTAATGCTCCTCCAACTCACTACAAAGGTCCTCTTAAAGCTTTTTTAGAATTTTTTGTGGGTGCTCCTAGGCCCTAGATTCATGGGCAAATACACACGAAAGATCAAAAAAACTGCATAATTTCTAAAAGTTGGCTCGTAAATACAAAAACACTCCTTCAAAAAATGGTGTGATTATACGTAATGCTCCCCTAACTTATTACGGAGGTCCTCGTAAAGTTATGTTAGAAATTTTTTTGACTGCTTCAAGGTGCTGGATCCATGAGTTAATACACACAAGAAACTAAAAAAAATGCATAATTCCTTATTTTACTATTCTTACATTTACTCAAATGTCTCAAAGAAATAAGGGGCTCTATAATAATGTAAAACTTCATGCATTAAATTGAAATGAATTATACTCATTTTAGTAGCTAACATATTTATAGTTATTAAATTTCAATAACCCTAGAATTATAGTCATTTTTATAAGTTAACTAGATATGAAATGCCCGTGCAACGTGTATCATTTTGAAAGAACAATTACTGACTTCTCTTTTGTAGTTTGATTATACTAAACAAAATATTGTTGTCATACAATAAAAGGGCATAAGCTATAATAATATTGACAAACTATTTTTATAAATACATAGAGTTTCCGAAGTACAAATGTCACGATAAATACGTCATTAGAATTTCTCTTATGCTCAACTGACCATGCTCCCTGGTAGAATTTGAGATCAAGGTGAGGGAGCTACACGAGCACTTGCAAGAGAGTGAGCCGCAAATTAAAAAGTTATATAAGCTATATTATAAAGTAATATTCAGCAGTCATAAGATGATATTCATTTGCTGAAATAGCTCATAGATTTCAGTGGTAGTTCGATTTGGTATTTGCTTAGCCCATACTACAAAGTGACGTCCTGATAGAGGAGTTTATGAATTCATTGCCAGATGTCAGAATTGCTTCAATTTTCATTTGTACTACAATAAAACACATGTACTTTAAGGCCTATGCGCAGAAGTATAATAATATTTTGAAATAACAAAAATGTACTGAAAATTTTCAAAATTACTAAAAGTTCAAAAAGCTTTTCAAAATAGAAGTACCTCCGTGACCGAAGCGAGTACTTTTGAATGACTTGTTTTCACATTAGCTTCTCTAGTTCTTTCTTCTAACTCTTTCCTCTCCGACTAATAGTTAAAACTATGAATATGTATCATTGTGCTACAAGATACAAGATATTTCTTTAGCTTAGCCTTCTCTTATCAATAGTAATTATTCTTGCAGCACAAATATATACTCAAGCACATATTATATATTCAAAGTAAACATAAAAAGCTTAACGGAGGTAAAGCACTCACCTTGAAACCTTGTTCGTCTACTTTCTTGTAATTGTAGGCATAATAGACAAGCTGACATTTTCTTACTGTCTTTAAAATGCAACGACTCTTTGGTAGACAAAATCTTCTAATTAAGGAAACTTCAATTGGCCAAACAAAATTGTCCTGCAAAATTGTCTTGTTCTTCTCCACAACTTAGTGCCTTCACGATCAAATAAAAGTATTTTCAATCAAAATAGCGTACACTCCTCGAGAACTCAAAATTTTCACTATCACAATTCATAGTGAGCATTCACTGAACTGTCTTCCTTTTTCAATAAATTTGTCCAAAATTCAAATACCCATAAACAAAAAAACTATACTGGCATTTTTGTAGTTGTGACAATCTTAGGCGATGAAATAGTGAAAGAAGAAAATTTTAATTAATATTGTCCTTCATTTTTCAAATTGCTTTGAATTTTTTATCGAAATAGTCTAGTGGACCGTTGTACTTGTACCCGTTTGTATTGTAAACCCTTCTACTTACTCCTTTGTCATTTGAACCCCCAAACACATTTAAAACTCAACTTGTTGAACCCTTTCAACTCGTTGTGACTCTCAATCGCGTTGATGTCACATTCCATGTCAGATAAAATTTGCCACATCATTTTTATTTTTATAATAATTTCTTTTTGGATGAAAAATCATAAAGTTTTGATGCAATTTTACAAAATAAAATTTTAATTTATTCTTTTAAATTAAAATTTTGAGTCTCCCTACATCATCTGCCATTTTCACCATGAAATGGCTCAATCGCCGGAAAAAGTTGCCGCTGCCACCACTCCTCTTGCCGGCGAGACCAAAAATACTCTCTCCCTCATTTGTCTTCATCTTCATGGCACACTTTCACCATTTTTCTTACCTCCTCCTTCTCTAACCTCCACAAATCCAAAAACCATTAGCCGCCGCACTAGCCTCGTTCCCCTCTCCACTGTCTTTCTTTTTCCGTACCATCGACGACTCCTGCGAACCATCAGGGACCCCCATATGCTCTCCCTCCTCTCCGGCGTACCAGAAGGCCAGAAAATTTCTCGTTGCCTCCGGTGTACCTTGCTGCCTCTGGTGTACCAGACCACCTAAAGAAGATGAAAGAAAGAAAAAAAAAAGGGTTGGACAAAACTGAAAATGGCTGAAAAAAATATAATAACTAGTACTACAAACGCAACCTCCCTCTTCCTTTTTCCCCTTTCCCCTTTCCCCTTAGTTTCACAGATCTTTGGCTGCTCTCTCCCTCTTCCTTTTTCCCCCTTTCCCCTTAGTTTCACAGATCTTTTGCTGCTCTAAACCATTAGCTGATGTTGAGAGAATCTGTAGTATCTTTTTGTTCTTTGTGTTTTGGAGTTGTACCAAGATTCTAGGGTATTTTGGTATTATCGAATTTTGTTGGTTTATCATTTCTCCAGAAGTTTGAGGCCAAATACGATTTATTTATAGATCACTTTCCCTTGATAATTTTGCATTAAAAAAAAAGAGATGGCTGAAAAAAGTAGGTCATTGGGCCAAGAAAAAGGGTTTTTTTTTTTTTCATTTTTAAGTTTATTATTTTATTCTTTTAATTTAAATATTTTTAAAATTTAAATATGATGTTCACTTGCCTTAATAGGCGTTTGGTTTCACTCTCTTGCCAACTCAATCATATTAATGCCACATAAGCATGGTCAATGGTCAGAGGGGTTTGATATATTGTGTTTTATTAAGTGTAAGGGTTCAGTTGGTAAAGTGTTAAGTAAAAGGGTCCATAATACAAACTGATACAAGTACAGGGGTCCACCAGACCATTGTGCCTTCTTTTATTAAGACGATGTTCTAACAGAATCAACCTCTCTACTACAATCTATAGCTTATATTTGGTAGAACTATAGTGCAAGAAAAAGGCTCCGATTGTCAAATGTATCACCAAAAGACGAGGACTTAAAATAACAAAAGGATCACATGTTCCAAACTATCAAATTATTTAGTATGCCAACTATTGATCGATGCCAGATCTCTTAATTTCTTTAGTTGGCATAGTGATAAAATATAAATGAAATTGGTCTTTTATGCAAGCTGGAAGAGAAGACAACAAATAGAAGAAGAAGAGATCCAAAGAAGAATTAGAAAAGTTGTGTCAGAGAGTAACAAGTTCCAAATGACGTTTTAAGATAATCAAGTAAGGAAATTTATCTGTTGTGGTGGCCACCAGTAATGACATGTCCCCATGCTCAAACAAACTTTAGATTAAGCTAGCATTTGATCAAAATCTTATCTTCAATTTTAGAGGCATAGTTAATAAAAACTTATTACACAAAACAACAAAAAAAGGATTGGTCTACTACATACCAACCGTTTGCTTGGTACTATCATGTGATGTATTTACTTCAAGGGATATCCTCGCTAGTTATTACCAACCTCATTTATTTGTGGTCTTCACGAAAACATCAAGACCTATCAGATAACGTCATCAAGACAGGAAATTACTATGTTCGTGAGAATGTATAAAGAAAAAAATGTCATGTTGAAATAAATAGAAGTGTAGATAATTTACCTAGTATTTGATCTATCCAAATAGAAGAAATTTCTTTCAATCACCATATTTCTATCCCCCAGATCATAGTCTAAGTATCTGTACTTGGATCCGTATTCCTATATCATGAAATTCAGATCATGAAGAATTCGACCTCTAAATTCACATTGGTATCAAACACCCTCACCCAAATCCGAGCAACTTAGGTTGAAAGCAAAAGAGTTCTGCATGTATCTTGCAGACTACATAAAGAACTTTGCATTTTTTTTAGTTTAAAAATACAGAGTATACAACACAAAGATGAAAAACAATTACTATAAAAGCATTTTCAATCTTTTTTGCAACTAAAACAGTCCTACAGGACTATATAGAACTAAAACCATTCACCTTGCCACATTTATTTGAAAATTAAAAAAAAAATAGATCTTTAAAATTTCTGTAAAGCTTACCAACTGACAACTGAGTTATTTCTATAGAAATTTCAATAAAATTTGTAGATGAAGGAATCAAGATCCTAAAACACTAAAAAGGAAAATTGTCTTTTCGCTCACCTCTCTTTTTATGTCTTTGAAAGAAAATACTTGAAACAACTTCTGTAATAAGTTGTATATTTCACGATTTTATTCTGCTAATTTGTGATTACATGTGTTTGATATGATTGAAGTTATATTGCATCCACTTCCTATGAACACACTAAAGACCATAATTGTCCAAATGTTTTCGATATAGGGCCTACTTTAAATATTGTGTCACATTCATTTGATGCTAGCAATTAAGGTCAAGATTTGCATCAACGGCAGAAACAACACCAAATACCACTATAGATTAACAAAATCCGAAAGACAATGACATCAACTATGTTTTTACATAGTGAATAGATCAATTTCACCATAGTAACTTTTGGGACATATAAAATAGACACCAAAACACAATTAAAAACTCCTGAAATGAAAACCCACAAATTCCAAGTTTTCATACCACAATTCAACTCTAACTTAGTTGTACTTGATACATAATGATCCCAATAAGAAGATTGTTATAAGCTAAATCAATAGATTGGGGAATCGATTCATACCTAATACCAGCAGCCTCATATTCTTCCATCTTTTGTGGCGCAGCCAGAATTTCAAAAAATGAAACACCAAATTAGCGCAAAGTTCAATATCATTTCTATATATAATATAACCAAAAAAAAAAATATAAAGTCTTCTTAATGAGAAAACATTTTGTTGGTAAGTTTGCCAATTTTGATAATTCCAAGTAAAAATAATTGCAAAAAGTTCCAAGTACATATGCAATGTCTAGAGTGCAACAAAGGATTCTAAGGAACGAAGCAACCATTATAATATTTGAAATACTACAAGTTCAGATTACCACTAAGTAAATCAAAAGCTAAAATATAAGGTGTTTACAGGCTTGTCATGCCACTATTACAAAAACAACTTTTAATGGCTAGAAACACCTTATATTTTCTCGATAAATATGTATTTATGGCAGCGGCTAGAAACATTACAACAAATTTTGTGATTATTTATAACGGTTGGCTAAGCAAACTCTTGATAAACAATCACAAAATTTGTTGTAATTTTCGGTTGTCTAACAATTTCTTAGTCAACCGCGATAAATGTCAGAACACAGTTCTTTGAACTAGTGAAACATTTTCTTCTTTTTATTACGATAACAAGCTTCTGCAATGCCACTACATTCTTTAGTAGAAACTTCAAAGGTTTGAAAATCTTTCAAACGTGTCATTAGGAAGCCAACAATCTTAACATTCTTGAAATTGGAAAATAATGTTTGGAATTCAACTCGGCAAATTGATATTATCTACTTTGGTGAAACATCTTAGCTCAAGCTGGCAAGGGGTTCGTAGAATTCAAATTTGATGTGTATGTTGAGTGACTCTAAAAGAGGGGAGGTTCGCAAAAGGCTGGCTACTCCATACATACTATACTTTGTTACATGTATTTATAGAGTTAGACATTTGCGTCTCAACTCTGAAAGCATCACCCCGTCAAGTTTTTGATAACTTAGAATGGAGATGTTGAAGTTATGAATAATATCTGTATGTATAGTTCACTGAGCAAAAAAGAAAAATCTCAAATCTTTTGTAGGAAACTTTCATGACCTCCACACATCAACAAGTATAAGTGTATATTATTTAGTACGTATTAAATAAGTTGCTTGTAAAGTTTTAAAATATTGTAAGGTCAAGATCCAAAATTATGTATTTAGAGTTCTTTACACACCCATGGATATAAAAATCATTTATATGAAACCATAAGAAACGTAAAAGAGAAAGAGGAGTTAGGATGAGAAAATTGTACCAATATTACCCTTATTTAGAAATGGGACTTCAAAATGACCAACACTGCATCTTTGTGTTGTACTAAGGGTAGTACTGATGGTACGTTCAGTTATCCCTTTTTTATCCGTCAATAGACACCTGTCCCATTTCCCTTTCACTTTCTCTAGAACTTTCTTGCTACCGTCTCACAATTTCGTAAGGGTTTTTGGTCGCCTCCTTCGTAAGCTCCGTCGATTTTGTCAACTCTTCTTTCCATACAGCTGAGCTCTTCAATGGCCGATCCATCTCTTCTTCAGCCTCTTCTGTTAGTCTGCAGAGTTTCAATTTCTGTCTGAAGCTTTCCTCAACATTTTCGTTTGCTTTGGATGCGCTGCGCAGGTATTTCTTTATCAGTTAACCTAACTTTCTCCGATTGCTAATTTGTCTTGCGTAGATACAGCTAGAATCAACGATTTACATGCTCAGCAAGAGAAAACTACCTAAAACTTACCACCGAAGAAAACACAAATAGCATTTCACATTTTTTCTGGTAGTGCCACAAATCGGTCAAACTGATAAATCTCTAAAATTGCCCCTCCAAACCGCAAAAGTCCCTTTCACACTTTCACTGCTTAGAACCTGCCGCTTTCAACGGTTTCTGCTTTTCTCTTTTCTCTATTGTTTATGCTTTCAATTTCACAGCTTTGTACTCTTCAGTTTTGGGATAGCTTTTGCCTTCTTCCTGCTATGTACACTCTTTTCCGTCTTTAGTTATGTTATAGTTGAAAGTATTTACTGCTTTATTCTCTCTTATTTATGTTATAGTTGAAAGTATTTAGTGCTTTATTCTCTCTTATTTATATAGTTGTGGAGTTAGCATTCATGTATTCTTTTATTAGCCTGCTTTATTTCTCGATAACCTTAAAGTTATTACTTCAAATTTATTTATTATGTTTATAGATCTTTCTATGTTTTATGTCTTCTCTTAATAATATATTCACTTTATTCTGATTTGTACACACAACTATACTCTTATTGTGCTTACTGATCTTTTCTCAAAATTTAACAGACGAAACCATTATGAAAGTTTACATCACTGCTTCCGTCTGTACATAATGATTGGATGAACATGATTCTCCTTTTTCTATGGCAGTCTGTGCAACTCGCAACAAAATCATCGTTAATACTTCATTTATATGCTACAAATGCTTCCCTTTGCCTTCTTCATTTTCAATTCTTAGGTAGAGTTGTATGTTGTCCAATGCACATATTCTTGTTGTTCACTGCAGTGATAAAGTTCAACAGTCAATATATTGCCCCAATCTTTTCCTGAAAATAGTACATCTTACTTTTCCCCCATCAATTTCGTGCACCTGTTGTTGTTTGTTCCTCTTCTGTTAGATTAAGCTGATATCCACTTCACTCTACTGATGTCAAACACATTACTATGCCAACACTGTTGTTCTGCTTTTTATTTGTTCTTTATTCTGTTTTTTCTTTCATACATACAAATTTTATTATGCTTGTACAGTTTATATGTCATACAACTGAATAGTAAGAGCTACAACTCTGAAGTAGTATAGTTTCTGTGCTCATTTTGCCTGTAGCTGCTTTGCTTCTATGACATTGTCAATCTCCTACTTTCCCATGCTCACATTCTACAGCTGTATATGATACATGCTATGTCATCTTTTCTAATTTTGTAATTTATCTTCATTCTTTGTCCTAACTTGCTTTTGCAAGAGTTTCTTACTGCTTTCTTGCTACATCAAACAGTCATTTATGTGGCTACAAGCTGCATTTTACTCTGCACTGCTGCTTTCATTTGATTCCTTTTCCCCTTTTCTCTAAACATCTGAAACAATGTACTGTTTTGTTAGGACTTCATTATCTAACTTCAGTTTTATATTTTACTCTTTTCTTCTACAGAACTTCCCCCTTTTTTACATTAAATGCCTGCAAACCACCTATTACTGTAAACTATTAAATGTTACTTCATACACTTTTGTTTCCTCATAATCTACTGATTGTTTATGGTTAATGTCTGCTCTTTTCAGTTACACAAAAGATATACACCATAGCGTTCATTTCTCCACCATGATTTCTTTGCATTACTGCAAAACCTGCTACTGAAATATTTCCCTAAGCCTTTCTTCTATTACAATGTTTTTGTTCGAACATCAATCTTTCACAAAATTTACTGTACAATGCTATTGTCATCTTTTCTTCCTAAAAAATCTTAGCTCTGCATATCCACATTTTTATCTAATTTGTTCTTGCATGTTTCACAATAAAAGTTTGGGTGCCTTTCCTTTTTCCAGTAGTTTTACTTCAGCTACTTTGAGCTGTTTCGCGGTTAAAAATTAACTAGAGGAAACAATTCAACATGCAAATAAACTGTCTGCTGAAAGTTTTCATTCAACATGAAATTTCCATTCATTCACATTAGGTAACAATACTGATGATCAAATATCCCATTTTTGCATCACTTGACATTCACACATAGTCGTAAATTGTTGATATCATGACATTCTTGCTCTACATTGTGCGACACTTTTCTTTAACAGAACAGTGTTACTGAACACGTTGCCCTTTTTCCTCTGTTAAATTACCCCACTTGTTAATCCTTACGTGACTTTGATACTGTGGGAACTGATATAGTCTCTTAATAATCGGTTTTACTTATTTCTAATTTTAACACTTACTATCCAAAAATTCCTATATGTATTTACTTATATCAGTCTTTGTATTCACTTCTATTTCCTGCAACTATAGTAGTCACATGCTTTACATTTTCTTTCTCCGTATTTTTCTTTCAGTTTACCAAAATACAATGCTTTGTATTCATGCCTCTTTCTTTTATTCCATTTCGGAATGGAATAATTTCACCAAATGCCGTGCAAATGTGCATGTTCACCATAGCATAGGTTGTAGGCTTAAACAAGCTACAATAATCTTACTCTAACATTACACAATAATGGAAGATTGTCAAAAAAACAAAAACCAACCAACTGTAACATCAATACAACACGGAGGCTTCAAGTGATAAAATTAGTATACACCACAGTCCCAATTTTGCCAGTATGACACCAAATCTTTCCACTGAAAGGTCAATCACTTCAACTCTGTTGAAGTAGCTTCGGTTTGACAGCTTTATCAAACAAAATTCTACGTTAAACACTTGTAGTAGTGAAATACTCATGTATATATAAATTAAAGTGCAAATGAAAACACACACTTAAAGGGAACACACAGTTTCATTTTAGGATTCTTCGTAGGTTGACTATCGACTTTTTGTCGCTTCCCCTGCAAGTCAGTCCAGCAAATTTTGGAGCTGCGTTTGTCTCAGCTCTACTCTTCTCAGCTTTCGCGTCAATAATTAACTCATTCTGATCTTCTGCATTTCATTCCACACAATTCTTTATCATCTTATCTAATAAAGCTACTCAAATTTTACATAAGCTACTATCAAACATCTTCATTTATTGGGTCTTTTATTTTTTTACAGAAATTTAATAAATCGGTTGTTTCAGATTCCTTTAAATTGCCACAAACAGAGAAAGAGCAATTGCAGTTCAGGTAACAATCTTTTTGACCTTATATTTGAATAGCTTATTGCTTTCTTTCTGTTAGTCATTCTACAGGTACTTTTTCCCATTCATTTTTCCTTTCTTACGTTTTCTTTTGATTCTTACCTTGCCTATCATAAACTGTATGTTATTTTCCTATATATATGCATGCTTTAGAATGTAAATAAATATGTATACAACTTTGCTGTACAGAGTGCATCTGTCACCATTTTTTCCAATTGTGCACC